TAAAATTAAAATTAACAATATAAAATAAATAAAAATATAAATATAAAAGAAGTCGCCCTGGCCAGATAAATAAGCAAATATTGTTAACAGTTAAAGTGACGTTTAAATAAAAAGGTCTTCACCTGGCGCCGAAAAACAAGTATCGACGGTGCCAGGCGGACCTCTCTGGGGAGCACATTCCATAGATTGGGCGCCACTGCAGAGAAAGCCCTCCTCCGAGTACATACCCTCCTAATTTCTTTCATGGAGGGTTCCCGGAGAAGGGCCTCTCCCGCAGATCTCAAGGGGCAGTCGGGCATATATGGATGTAAGCGCTCCTTCAGGTAACCAGGACCCAAGCCGTTTAGGGCTTTATAGGTCATAACTAACACCTTGAATTGGGCCCGGACTTCAATGGGAAGCCAGTGAAGCTGACGGAGGACTGGAGTCATGTGAACATAACACCCCGTCCCCATCAGCAACCTGGCAGCTCTATTTTTGGCAGCTCTATTACATAAAACGAACATAATACAACAAAACAGTAAAACCAATAAAACCACTAAACAACCAATAACAAATGGTATGATAGTAGATGGTATCGAAAGCCACAATGGTTTAATTTAAATAGCAATGTTTGGCCTACAACAGGCAATCTTCTTACTAAGTAATAACCCCTATCACAGTGAGTAAGCAGAGTGGACACACGCTGATCATAATGTAGGTGTACATTCCTATAGAAAATGATGGGGAAACTTCACTTCTACTGGCAAAATCCAGCCTTCTAGGGTTCTTCAGATGGGCACATGGCTTTTGCACAGTTTTTTCCCATTCTAGAAAGTTAAATTGTATCTCCTAAGCTTGGTTATAAGGGTTAAAGGAAAATATGCTGCTCTTGGAAGGGTGAGGTTGTGAGTGTTTTTGGCTCCCAATTTATATATTATTATTAGTAGGAAGAGTGGTGGTAGTACTGCTTTTTAAATTTACAGACATGAATTTGTATGAAATGCATACAAATTTCAAGCAATTAACTTGGGCTTCAACAAAAATGGATCAAATATTGAAAGTTGAAAGCACTGTACGGCCTTCAACCCATTATACTATTGGAGGTGAGTGTTTTATCCTTCTAGCTTTCTAATGTCATTTTTAGCTGTCAAGAAGGTGCAGAGAATCCATGTAAAGTGACATTTTGTTGATCTCCATGAAGCAGATTTTAGTACAAAATATATCTGTGTAATAACCTCCCACAAAAGAAGTAACTACTGATCATTGCCAAAGCATATGTTTTAAAAGAAGCATTAGCTGTTATCACACTGCCAGCAACTAGCTGAACTGTACAATCCATTACTAAAGAGAGCATCAGGTGTTGATAGACATGAAACAAATGCTTTGGCTGATTAGGGTGCAGCCCAAGATCCATAGATATGACAGGTAGACACCAAAATGGCAATCCGCCAATTAGGTATTTTACTGTATTGCCACAAACCCTGTTCTGTGCCCAGTTTGGGGACCCCTGTTCTATGGTAAAGAATTCTCTGAGTAAGCAGGCCTAATTGGTTTTCACATTCTTCTGCAGTTAGAAGTGGCTGCTGACTTAGTGGAAGGAACAGGCAGGTACAGGAGCAGAAATATTCACAAAGCTTGTATAAATAGTTGTGAAAAGCCTACTCCATTAATGTGTTGTGTGTGCATGCACATACTATTATTTATTTATTAAAGATATTATTATGGAGCACTACATCCTGCATTACTACTCCTAAGAACAAATAGTTATACACTGGTTAACAATATAATTTTAAAAAGCAAGCACACCATTAAAAACACCAATCAACAAAACATAATAACAACAATTCAAAGCACTACAAAGAGAAAAAGGATGACACACAAACATTCCAGAAAGCATAAAAAACATGCACTACTGCACTAGCTTCTCTCTTTCTAGTCTCAGCTTTCACTTCTCAAAATATAACAATTCTATAATGAAAACACACAGACAATAGCAGAGGAAGAAACTAATACAGAGCAGGTTGCCTTGTTCAATGTGAGCAACAAAGCTGCATGTCACTGGTAATGAATCCTCTAGGTGAGTCACACGTAAGCTCACAGTCATCAGCTACAGTTTCTAAACTATTTTAAGAGAAGAACAGGATTGTTGCCATAGCAGCAGTAAACCCTTCTAATCTCACTTCCTGCAGGATGAGGCTGTCATAGATGCTCCACTTTGGAGTCATGTGAGAGTTTATATGAGAGGCTGCAAAGCAAGAGGCAACATCATTAGGCTTCAGGCTAATGTCATTCAGTCTGATGAGTATTTACAGAATCAACGATCTGACACTCGTCATATACACGAGTCAGATATATTCACTTGAAAGAGCATCAGTCATTATGTGCTGATGGGCAGAAGGCAGATTGGTAAGCTGCTGGATGATTTGCAGATAGATCAGAAAACT